CAAGAAAGCAGGAAGTAGATGTACACTGCATTCAAGAACCCCATTTTCCTTTATATGTCACCTTTGAATGTTGTGAACGTTATCCTTTCTTCTCTGAGCACTTCATTTACATGCTTAATGCTATTGACAAGTTCCTATCTATCTAGTCTCTGCTCACCAATGCATTCCTCAAGTAAATGGTCCTTTTCTTTCTTAAGATCTTCCCTACTTATAGAGAGATGAACATTTTCGTGGTACAAGATCCTCAACAGACCTATCCCTATGCTGTCACCTCAAGAGAGCTGGGTTGCCTTTCCCACCTCCCCATCCCATCCTGTCTGGGCTTTATTCTCTCGTGATGTGGCACAATAAACGATCCTCAGCATCCACCACTGTGTATTCCAACAGCTCTGAAGGACCAAGCCTTCCTTTCCAGGCCTGCTGTAACAGCTTCCTTGTTTCCACCTTGGAAGGATGCAATTAAACTTAAGGTTGAAAGTTTTGGCTGATTGAGTTCAGACAACTGAATGGCTGAAATCAGACTGGACTCCTTCAGAGGTCCTGTGGAAAGGCAAGACAGATTATGCTGTTCCACAGGTGAATGCTTCATGAGGATAAGGAGATGCTGAGGAGCCCAAGAATGAAGACATTAACCTTCCCAGCTACCGCTTTGCTTTGCCTTGGTGTTCTGGGGTTAGTCTCACCACAGAGAGAAATTCTGACGTGGTGTGACATGAGATGTGTATGGCACATCTTGACAAGTTGAGTAACACCGCTTTCAATTCACAGTGAAGGATTTCTGAGTCTTCTGGTGTTGCTGGCACAGGCCAGGAGTCCCGAAGGTGATTCTATGTACGAAGAGACACCGACTAGCAGGGAATGTGTGGAGGAGGCAGATGTAAGCAATGAGGACAAGACAGACTACAGCTTGGGAGAAAAGGAGAACCCAAAGAAATACAAAGAGCTGGGAGCTGGGTCAGGCCACGGATTCAAGCTGAAAGCAGCCTGTCAATGCTGGGCCTGTGTAGTCAATGTGCTCCCTCCCCTCCGTGGAAGACTTCACAGCCACCCCAGCAAAGGAACTTGTGGCACCTTCCAGGGAAGAAGCTGACTGTAAATCACCCTTCTCCATCAGACAGGCTGAGGTGGGAAGGTTTCAGGAGTGCTGTCATGCAGTGCGAGGAGAACTCGTAAGATAAACCAGGCTTTCAAGCCTTTCCAAACTTAACATTCCCATGAAATGCCTCTGAGCCCCTTTCTCGGTGACAAACATACAAGTAACAGGGAAAGAGGAGAGTAACAAAGAAGAACCAGAAGGCCAGGCTGCTTGAATGAGAAAGGTCATTTTCAAGCAATGTGAAGCTGAGGAATCTCGACTTCCCATAGGAAAGACTGCAACCAGAGAGATGCAGTACACCCATCAGCATCTCAACAGTAACTTCTGGCTCTCAGGACTGAAAACTACTGTTCTACCAGAGAGGACAATCTAAAATTCAATGTCTTCCAGAAAATTCAAAAGCTCTTTTTAAGGACCTGAAATTAGGAGAATACATCTGAATTCTCTGCTGTGCAGCCCTGAATCTGACATGTGGTGATGGGCGAGATTAGCTAATATTCTGATTTAATAACATACAAAAGTGGATGCCCCAAACCAAGCAGGATCCTAATGTGGCATTTATTCCAAGCTCTGTAGGGCTAATAGCATTGTTGCCGTGACAACCTCAAACCCATGAAGCTGTATTCTACAAACAGTGCTTATGAAAATGGAAAATCACTTTTAGAAGCAGAAATTACACATAAATTGACAACAAAAGGAATCATTATACTGACCGAAAACCAACTCTTCGGGTATAATGCAGGCAGTTCTTAGTGACATGAGTCTGGAAGTGGACAGATCTGCAGATTGCTCCACATTCAGGACACGTGTATGGAGATTTATGCTGATGAATTCTCTGGTGTGATGCAAAACTGCACTGGTTAGGAAGCAGCATCTGGCAGATATTGCATGTCTTCTAAACGATAAACCAAAATAGATGAAACAAAAGGTTTGGTTCAGCTACACAGAACGTCTTGTGTCACACACTGTAATACAGCAAATAAAAGGTTAAATGTTATGCCTGGGATGTGGACCAAAGGCAAGTGCTAAATACAGGCCCTCCTGACACGCTTGGAGGGACAGAGCTGGCAGACACTGGCAACCTGACACATTGGCATCCTGGGCCGTTCTGGCACCACAAAGCTCCTCCAGGTACCACTGACCATGGGAGGTGCATGTTGGTTTAAATACTTATAGTGCAAAGGGCCCAAGTACAACTCCAGCATCAAACCTTCTGGCTGTAATTCAGCGCACCACAAAGTAAAAACCAAACCACCATATACACTGCTCCTGAGGAATTCTTATGCTAACAGCTGTCATGCCAATAAAATGGACTATTACCAGGCAGAAAGCACACAGCTGATTGCAAAATGTATTCCACGGGCTGGAATACAACATCTGCCCTGGGCATGAGGAAAACCTTCTGCTACAAGCTGACCATCTATCTGCCCAGTCACAAACACTGACATTCTCTGGGTGCTTTGGGGATGAAACACGAAGTTCTCTCCATCACTGGAGGGCACAAAGGCCCAAACCTGTAAAAGTATTCCAGAAAATGTTTCATTTACAGGAATACATCCCTAAAATCGGGAGCTGTGCTTTGCTTACGGAAGCTCTTCACTGACCAACAGAAACAGTCCTGCTCTCCAAGTACAAAAAGGTCTTTGCAGAATAAGACTTTAACTCAACTTCAGAAGATTTTACTTTGTAAGGCTCTAATAATATTATTTATGACCTGGGACTTATGACTCACACTAGTGACTTAAGAACATTTAAACAAACCCAAGACTCCTCCAGGATACAGGTGTTATTTAACATGAGATTGTGTCATGCAGGAATAGAGAACAGAACAAGATCTCCAGAGCTGCATCAGAGATGATTTACTAACCTAGGCAGGAAGAAACCCTGAAAGCAACAACCAAGAAAAAACCCCTTTCCTATGGCAGAACAGTTTCTTACTGAACAACAGTCCCCCCTTCTTCCAACTCGGGTGACTCTCATTTAAATTCCTCTTAAAACCCACGAAGATCCAGATCATGTAATAGCAGAATCTATCACTGCAGAAGAAACAGCAGTGTTACTAATGGCTTTCACAGGAGTCTGACTTACCAGGATTCGCAACTCTGCCAGTAAAAACTAACCCATTCCCATTTAATCAAGAGGAGACGCTAACTCCAAGGATGGAAGGAAAAAGCCTTCATAGTCTTTATTGCACAAAAGGATTTCCCCCCCCCCCCCCGCCCCAGCAGAACACTCTTTAATATTGAAGTCTAGATCTCAATTGCTTTAGCAGTTTTACAGTATTACTGCTTGGTTTTGTTCATCTGTCCACTCCATTCTTATTCTTTTCCAAAATCACATAATCTGAACGCTTTTTGTTTGAGGCTGCATGCAAATACTCGGAGTCTTTTTTTAGGAGGACTAATTTGAAGTAGAAATGTTAACATAGAGCATGTTGTGGTCAGGCACACAGGGGCAAGAAGTGTGTTTCCACGTGGTTCACTCGGAACATTTACTTTGCGAACACAGTCTCCATCCCAATGTCCTGAGGAAGTTAAGTAAAGACAAGCTACCGTTACTCACAGTCAGGTTCAACGTAAGCACTGCTGCCAGCCAGCAGATAGCACAGATACATTTACTACCCCTGGGGAAGGCTTTGCCTAACTGACTCTCTGCAGGGCTTTTCAACTGTCACCCTCACTAGAGCCTCTGTGGCACAGGAAGGCTGAAACTGTTCAGACACACATTTATATTCACTTTGAAATGCCAAATATGTGTCCTCAACTGACCACTCAGCTGTGGGCACCGACTGGTGCCCTCCCAGAGGGCTTGGGATGTAAACTCTGTCTCCAGCTCAGGCTTCAGGGCAAAATCTAACCGTAACTCTGCTTAAAACATGCTGGTCACATTTACTTGCCTTCAGTGCCACTCCTAAAACCTACCTTCTGACATTTATGTATTAATAAGCAGCAATAGAATGCTGGAGAACCTGCAGTATTGCTTGATTAGGTAAGAAAACAGCAAACCAGAACTGCCCGTCAGCATAGCAGACTGATTTTGGAACAAGCAGCCTGCATGATTCACCTGGAACACCAGACTCAGACTGACAACAACTGCTATTTGTTAAGGCAAATAGCAATTGTTTAGTGTACGTTGATACACTAAAATGTTTCATTCCAGCTGGCTGCAGTAGAACAAGAAGCGTCTACTGGGAAAGGCAGCAGGTTGCTTACCATTGTGTTTTGGGCTTAAGATGGCCTTAACTTCCAGCTCTCACTGCAACCCGCCCCAAACCAAATCAGAGTTTGTGAAATCATCACCTGCCTGCATTAGAAGTCAGGGTCTCAGAGAAATAAAAGGATTAGAAGAAAACATGGTGGAGGTGGAAAAGAAAGATGCACAAGAGCCATGAGCATGAAGGGAAATGAGCTGTGCAGGTTCCACGGGAGCTACACACCTAAGAGCTGTAAATGAAACCAACATCAACACTAATGAGCCCAGATTTGCTCCTTTTTTAATGCCAGTAAGTAGATGAAGGTTTCATTCAGCCAGGGAACCTGTCACTAGGTGCTCCCGTTCCCTTTAACGGGAATATTCATGGAAGTAAAATATGACAGAAAGGGAACAACTTTATAGGGAACATCTTTTAATTGCTAGGGCTCTATTTTAAAAGAAACACTCTACCCTCACAGCAGGAGTTTAAGAACAAGAAGTAACAGCTACTTACTGCTTAGGCTCATTGAAAGCATAAACCAGGCTGCAATTTCCATTTCAAGAGCAATGAGGGGGCACTAAAGGAATAGGAAGCTGCAAGTAACAACTTTCCCCCAAGTATTCATTTGCAAAGCCCAAATGTTTGTCTTTATTCTTCCTAAGTCAAAATATCAATCTCATCTACCTTCCCCATCTTCCTCCCCATTAACAGAAAGCCAGTGCCAAGGAAGTGTTTTCCAAGGAAGGAAAACAGAAATGGGAGCAGTTCAACAGTTCCTACGCTGGGCATTCCACCAGAGCTATCAACGCTAAGGTAGGTAATGAAACACAACATAAAAACCCCACAGAATTGAAACCTGCTGGTTGATGCATGAAAAGGACTAGGAAAAGTAGTTCTAAAGAGGATATTTCAATAAGGAACATTTAAAACGACATTTATTAAGTGTTCTTTGAAAATGGAACAAGAGGAAAATAGCTTCTTTTACCCCAGTGTTTTGCAGCAACAAGGCTTTTTTGTTCTGTGATTTAAACCTGGCAATCACAGCCTAGGAAGCCAGTGTTCAGGCCTTGTTCCTACATCAGTTCCTCCCTGACCAGCAGTTCCCTGTGTACCCACACTCACCTTTCCCCCTAACTGCACTTGTATTTGGACAATCTCAGTTGTTTTGCTGCAGTAAGTCGCCAGGACAAACAGCACCTAACGGGGCAATAGCAACAGGGCAAAACCACCAGGCAGAGGCAGCAGGGAAGGGCCAAAGGGGGTTTCTACAAACCTGTTTAGTTTACCTGCTCCTACAGAAAAAGCCTCACAGAAGTGAGTCCATCACTTTGTTCTTCCCCAGTACTTCCTTTTTATCCTTACTTCACGCTCCCAACCTATGCTCAGTGTATTTCTGTCTCTCATCCGCTTGCTATACCTTAATGCCTTCTTAATTGCTTGATTTTACAGGACCAACAACAACAGTTTTTGTGAAGACTACTGGAATGTATCACACCTAACTGACCTATCACAGAAGAGAAATCTAAGACCAGTAAGTACCAGCAGTTAGCTAAAAACCTGTTACTGAGTATTAAGTAACTCACGAGCTACTGCAGAACATACTCACAGTCAGCCATTAGATGCTGTTCACAGCTGCAGCCAGACCTAAGGACAGAACACATCCTGCTAACTTCTTTCCGACAAAAAGCTTAACTAAACTCACTGCAGGTAGGCACACCTGGAGTATCTTACAAGCAGAAGTTCACTCCTATGGCATTTCACTGTGAATCCAGGCGATTTGAGCCCAGGTAGTAAAGGAGCTGTGGCAGAGCCACATAATCCACACAGTCAAGATTACTTCCACACTTAAACCTCTCTGCTAGCTGTAGTGGTGGGTGCAGTGCAACTGCCTCATGGCCAGAGAATAGCTCTGAAGTTTAATGAACAGATCCTGGCAGGAACCTCTATATAACCTATAACAAGGGGATTTTTCCGTGACTGCAGCACTTAAAATTGCCGTGCAATTTCCAGGAATACTCCTGGGGCATTCCTGTCTCTATCAGTCTGAACATGTCTGCAGGTCTTCAGCCTCCACACAGCAAGAAGCTGCAACACCAAGCTCAAGTGAATGCTTTGAAACACCAGAATCCCATTTAATTGGCACACCCCAACAGAAATCCAAGTGTATCATTGAACAAACAAGCTCAGCTCCTGTAGCATTACAAAATACATCGCACACTGATTGTATTAACGTTTATTGAATGAGGTAGCTCTTTCAGATTAGGCCACAGACATTAGTAAAGAATTTTAAGGTGGTTTGGAAGTTTGGCTCATTTGTAACTGTAAGAGGAAAGCCAACACAAAGAAACAAATGGTCACACGGCAAGAGATGCATGTCAGTGAACCCCATGTCACTGCTGGTGGAGAAGGACCTGAGGAGACAGCATGCATCTCCTGTCAAAGGAGTCTGTGTGCCATTTATTCACTGTCCCTGGAGGCAAGAGGAGTGCCTGGCTCAGCCGTGGGGTGGATGAAACCAGTACAAACCGAAGACAAATCAAGACTGAATCACTTTAATCTATCACTCAGATTGAAGAGATGGGCTGTTAGTGAGGGTGCCAATTAAGTGGATTCCACAGGATACTCACATTCCAAAGCACAGGAAAAAATCACCAAAAATCTTTAGTAAGGAGCAGTATGATAACGTTCAGCTGCAAGAAAGCTAATGCTGAGTGTCAGCAAAACTATACAGGGTAAGTATCAGACTTCAGAGCCTAAAAAAAAATCTAAGAAAGCTCTTACTTAAACAGTGTTGACATTCACTATGTAAGTGCTTGCAAGGGTGTTGGGTGGTTTTCATTATCATTTTAATCACGGAGGTTCAGATAAATAACAGCTAAATCAAAGTAAACCCATATCCGAAGTCTCCTAGGCTTAGAGGTGAAACATTGGAATGTAAACGTATGATACTCTACTTGTCCACTTGTGTCTGCAGCCTGCTGGAAATGAGTTGCAAGAGATGTCTCATCTTGGAAAACTTCATTGCACTCCAAACACTTTAGACTATGTCTACAGAGTTTCGAGGGGTCTTCGTCCAGGGGCATAGCTGGGATGACAGGCGTGCTCGCTGGGGCCGAGATCACCGTCCCCGTTAAGCCAGGCTGGACCTTGGTGACCGTGTGCGTGCTGACCCCCCCGGGGCTTTGAAGCATGGATGCAGCTGTATTGCTTGAAGGAGATGCTATCATCTGATCTGCTGGGACTGGTTTTAAGATGAGGTGGGAACACTGCATTACAACTCCTTTCTCCTTGTGGCCACGGGCATGGGAAAGGAGACTGCACTTGTTGTAGAAAACTAAGTTCTTTGTGCAATGGTTACAGGTCACCTCGATCCGCACGCTCCGCCGGTCATAGTGCTGGGTCAGGCTCTTCTCAAGAGCAAAGGAGTCCCCGCACTCCAGACACTTGTAACCTCGCGTTGGTAACGTTATTCCAGCGCTGGCAGGGGGGCTCAGGTTTGGGATGTAAACTGGGACAGGGTTGACACTACTCAGCACCTTGTTGAACGCTTCCACAACAGAACTTTGTAGAGATGACACCACCTGGACTCGAGACACTTTCTTTGAAGGCTGTGAGGCTGCTGCAGAAATTATTGCCTGCTTTATCTGCTGCTGAGGTTTCGTTAGCACTTGGCGGAGTTCAGAGGTGGTCTGAGCACCTTGAGGCAGAAGGTTAAGGTTGGCAAGATGGACTGTCTTTGGCACAAGTTTAGCACTGGCAAGGCTCGATGCTGGCACCACAACAGTCTGCTGTTGTATGGCATTGGCAGCTTTTATAATGGCGCTGCTGGCACTCTGCACCGAGGCAGCAGATATTACAGTGGCTTTCACTGTGGTGTTGTTAGCAAGCTTCAAATTAATCACTTGAGAACCTGCTGTTTTAACTGCTGAAACAGGGAGAAAGGCAGTAGCCACAGGTTTGATAGTGACCTGTTTCGGTGCGAGCTCTGCGGACGCAACTGCATTGGTAACGACTGTGGACTGGAGAGGAGCTCTAGGAGGAGAGGAAAGCACAGCAGCGGAGGTTGGCGAGGACAGCAGAGATGTCATGGAAGTTACCATCGAAGCGGTCTGCTCTGACTTCTTACCAGAGTCCAAATCAACCTCTGGCAACACTCTGGTAACAGTCCTCTTGATCTCCCCAGAAGAAGTCTTGATGGTTTTTATGCGAACTTTAGGAATTGCTGGTGTTGACCCTGCAGGAGAAGAGGGAGACCCTTTGCTGCTGTTCTCGCTGGACACGCTTCTGGGACTGTCAGGCGGTTTGATGGACGGCTTTTTAGCACCATCAATGAGACTCTGAGATTCAGGTGATTTTTCCACAGCCCGGGGACTTTCACTCATGTCTTTAGGTAGAGGAGAAGATTCTCCCGAATTAGACTGTAAATCTTTACTGGGATCTGTAGCTGCCTTTTTAGCACTCAGTGCTGCAATCGCAGCAATGCACGAAGAGAGCTTTGCTGATGACTTTGCTTTGGACTGTGAAATGCTGGCAAGATTTGTTTCGCCTTTTTCAGCACCCAGTTTTCCATCAAGTACCCTGTTTTCAAGCAGCTTCTCAGAACTGTCTTTTAGCAGTTTGTCCTCTGGTTTGCGAGCTTTAAAAGGCTCATAGACACTTAAGTTCATGGAGTTTGTCTCTGCCTCTCGTTTAGCAACTTTACTTTTATCTAGACTACTTGAAACCGAGATTCCAGATTTAATCAAGTTCTCCCCTCCAAGTGCCTTTAGTTTGTCATATTCCTGCTGAGATATAGATCCTGCCAGGACATTTGCTCTGAAGCTTGCCCGCATCTCCTCTTTATCCGGGGGGTCATCCACCTCAATCTTTTCATCATCATCAAATTCTTCAGCACTTGATATGGGGCTAAACTGGTTAAAAGCTGAATCCTTGAGTGTCGTCTCAGAAGCTGACCCATCATCTTTAAGTGACTTCCCTTCATCTTTACTGTAGCTATCAAGAGCTGATGAGCTTAGGAAGCCATTGTGCAAGCCATTGCCTGTGGAATGGTGCCCATCCTTGTCCACCCCTTCGGAAGAATCAATAGTGCGCACGTTCTTCACAATGACACTCACACCAACATCAGACGATGATGGGGCATGAGAATCTTCATCTGTGTGAGCGTTCTGTTTGATGTGGCTTTCATGGTCATCATGTCCAGATTCAATAGCTGCTTTTGGATCAACCATGTCTGGTATGTCAAAGGCTGCAAGAAGGTCATCAAAATCTGGGGTCTTCATATCCCCCATGGTCATGTATTTGATTGTAAGCAAATCTGTAAAACAAGCAGAAAGTCATCACCTCAGTATGTGAAGCTCTAATAGCACAGTCCTACATCAAATCACCATATGCTCACATATGCCACGCAAAAAGGTGTTATTACACTTCTGAAGTAACAGTGTCAGAAACTATGTCACAGAACAGTGTTTCAGTGCCAGTGCACAGTCACATCATTAGAGCACAGCTACAGTGAGCCCCCGACTTCACAGACTCTAACCCAGTCATTTCACTCCAGCACAGATTTCTCTTCAATGACTTTCTTCCTGCCTCCTCTCCTGCCCGTCTACAGCCACAATGACTATAGGAAGATACCCAGATTTCCAGGAAAATAACGTGAGGCACAATTCCTCCTAAGTCTAGATTTTCCTTAACATCTGCATTATCAACCTCATGAGCCTTCCTGAAGATGGTAACAAATATGTTTCTACTAACAGTTTAAGACTGTTGCACTCTGTTCTGTAAGTTAAATTGCTTTACAAGAAC